ACCTGGCTTGAGTTCAAACCCAGGCTAACGGATTAGCGGCGTAATTGATTATCGTTGTTTTTCCCCATGTGCAACATGAATACGAGTCAGTTTTCTTCAGAAAGTTTACCCCGAAGACCCCTTTCTTAGGCAGATAGCGCTCGTGGCTTTGCCGTATTCAAATAACCTAATCTAACCTAATCCTAAACAGCGGCAAGGACGCGATTATGCCTTCAGCATATGACCAGTATGCCTCTGCTTGCAGTCGGTAAATGTTTAGACCAGCTTCAATACGGTCATAAAATAAGGGTTAAACGATAAAATAAGAATCGCTAAAAATATTTTTCTTTTATTAGATAATGGCATTTATCTTAAATTAAATTTTCTGATAGATTCTCTTTTCTTCCGTGAAAAGTTTGTTTTTTACTTCTCTCCAATTTATATACATAGGTAAGAGAGGTAATGTTTTCAGTCCAAAATTTCGATATTGGGCTTACAGTGAATAAGCACAAATTAGAGTCTCTACAGCATGTTAATACTATTTTTAGAATTATATCTGTCTCTCTGTATATCTGCGTAACAATTGTTTTCGTCCATGATAAGTGGTTATGAAGCTTCCAAAACTTTTCATTTGTATTTCGCCCTTCGTATAAATAGTTGATTAGATTTTGAGTAAAATTGGACAAACGGAAGTAGTACGTTACTGGAAGCCCATACCACTTTTTCATGAAAAACAACATTAAAATATAATTCAAAACTTTCCAATTTTAGTATTTAAGATTTTTATATCAATGGGAACCACATTTTGGATTTTGGTTTAAACTGATAAATCAGAAGTAATATTTTACTTGAAGCATGTACAGATTTTCTTGAAAAAGTATGTTATGAGATAAACCGAAATTTCTCAGCTTTAGTACTTAAAACATATATATGATTGAGATTAACACATTTCATTTATATTTATTCTTGGAATTATGCCAAATGCAAAGAACATGAGCTCATCATAAAGAAGAGCTCTCGCTATGAAGCATTTAATCCTCTGTCCTCAATTTTGTGTCCGTTTCAATGTTATGTCGCATCACTTTTCAAATAAAAGGATTCTGACACTGAATGTTATCGCTATGTATTATTTCTGAAGCAATAATACAGCAAATATAAATTGTACAGGGAATATAAAAAAATGCAATACAGAACTTTATTGGGAATTTTAAGGATATATTGCTTTTAAAGATTGTGTGATTTTGTGGTTAAATTTTATGTCGTAAAAGTGTGAAGAAGGTGATGTTTAATAAATAAAATTTTTTAAAAAATTTATAAAACTTTAAAAAGATAAAATTTCTCAGATTCATAATTTTTGTTACTATCAGAACTCGCAGAATTTCTTTCCCCTTTAAATGTACTAGCTATTTGAATGAATAAACAAAATCAAGTAATAATATAACGTTTGCATCAAAACAAACTAAATAATAATAATGATAATTGTAATAAAATCATAATAATAGCAGATACAGATCAGTAAACGAAATTATGTCATTAAAATAACATAAACTAACAGACGTTTCTGCTTTTGTGACCACAAAATCTTTATTCAGAAAAAAAAAAAAAAAAAAAAAAAAAAAAAAAAAAATTGCAGTGGGCTACATTTTACATATATTAGACAAAATACAATTTAACATGCTTAACAGTATGCAAAGTCATTCAGTTACCCTAAAATAAGACGCGTGAATAAATAAAACAGGAACATATTAAATTTGTGAAAATCGCAAAAAAGTAAATATTCCTCCATTTGCGGGTGTTACTTTGCAGAATTAGAAGTCGGATATTTAATGCACTTTCAGTTAATTCCGTTGAATAACCAAAGAATCAGTTTAACATGTTTTAAATTTTATTAGCTTCTTTAAAAACGCCTTGAAGAAAAACCATTTCGAGATGTGTATTGTTCTCAGTTTGTGATAAAATTGTATGCGCAATAAATAGGAGCTGTTGCCAATCCACGATATGTAAGATCTTTTATTAGTTTTGATTGTAAAAGTTCGTTACTCAATATAGCTTATGTTAATCATTTAAAAAATCATATTTTGCAGCAAATGGGATTTTATATTGTAAATATCACAAATAAAGTAATTTCTAAGAACCTATAATAGGTTACCTGCAAAACGTGTAACTCTACTTCTTGTGCACGCTTTCTTTTACATCCAAAATAAAACCATGTATGAAAACCTTTTATAATAACATTTGGATTGCAAGCTTGCTTTCTTGCACTGTAGAGACATTAGGATTTTTTGGAAGCAGGAGTCATGATGAATGAGCATCGCCTTCGCCGGGAATCGAACTACGGACCTCTGGAATACGCGCCCAGCGGGCAGACCACTACACTATTAAGACATGCTAAGAAGGCGGGAGAAATACCTTATAATGTAATTCCTTTTTAAATTTTATTCAAAGGGTACAAATTACTTTAACCTTTTTATTAATTATATTCTACATTCAGAAAATAAATGCAGAAACATATGAATTACTAAAAATTTAAATATTTTGAGGTAAAAGTACATTTTGATATAAAAGTACATTTCATGAGTTGGGAGCAAAAAAGGTTATTTTAATTGAAGAATTTTTGTGTAGTTTCCAATATGTTTAAAATTTTTATATACACTCATGTCCATAAATTAAGGATAATTCGGAGTCACGCGGAAATCGAACTCTAAAATAAATATATCACCTGTAAAATCACTACACACATCTTCAAGAATCATACGCAAATTTCAGGAAGTAACCAGATGACACCGATGGTACGTCACAATGACGAGAGTGTAAGAGAGTGATATATAAGGAATACAGGTAAAGAAGTAAAATTGTTCGCAGGCGCTTTATAAGCATTTCAGTGCAATAACCGAATAGTTATGACACAAAAGACGCATTTGGATGGTTTTTTTTTTTTTTTTTTTTTGATTTTTTACGTCGTAGAATTATCGGCCGTCTGGAATGTGGGCGTACCCAACTGGAAGTATCAGACGAACTTGGAATTGCCCAGAGCGTCATCTCCAGGCTTTAGCAACGATTCCAAGATGATGGTAATGTGAATAGACGTTACACCACAGGTCGCCCCAGAGTTACAACGCCGAATGAGGACCGGTATTTGGCAGTTACAGCCAAAAGAAACAGGCGGAGCTCAGCCTCAGACCTGTCTCGTCAGCTCTCTTCAGCCACTGGTACGACAATTTCAAGTAGACCGTGTACAGACGCTTAGGGCAGATTGGTCTATATGCTCGTAGACCTGTCAGATGCGTTCCACTTACTGCAACTCACTGTCGCCTGCGGTTAGCCTGGAGTAGAGAGCATGCATTGTGGACACCGCAACAGTGGGCTTGTGTGATGTTTTCCGACGAGTCCAGGTTTAGCTTGCAGTCTGATTCTCGCCGGACTTTCATATGAAGAGCTCCAGGTACCCGTTTACCTACCAAGAAAACATTGAACGACACCGTTACGGTGGTACAGGAGTGCTCGTTTGGGGTGGAATTATTCTGAGTTACAGAACTGACCTGCATGTTCAAATAGGAACCATGACAAGCCAAATCTATCGGGATGTCATTCTGGAACAATATGTACGTTTTTTTCGGGGCGCCATGGGCGCGCAATTTGTGTTTATGAATGACAACGCCCGTCCTTACCGTGCAAACATCGTAATCGAATGGCCTCAATCGGAGGATATCACCCGTATGGACTGGCCAGCATTCTCACCGGACTTGAATCCAGTAGAGCACGTGTGGGACATGCTTGGCCGACGAGTTGCAGCAGCCCGTCAACCTCCTCGTACATCTCTACCGGAACTTCGGAGAGCATTGCTTTTTGAGTGGTGTAATATGTCCCCAAGATCAGATCGATAATTTGATACTCAGCATGCCTAGGCGTTGTAAGGACTGTATTGCATCGTCTGGGAGACATAAAATGTATTAACAATCATACCAACCATGTAATATTGGTTTTTCGTAAATAGTTTTTTTTTGTTAATTTGCTTCCAGGGAGAAAAAATCGCTAATTTTTTTTAATAATTTCAAACAATAGCATCTCTTTTTGCTCTTTACCTTTTGTTTAATAAATAAGCTTTACATATAAGTCAAATTTGTTTTGCTTCTAACTCTTCCTTTGCCTGATTTTGCATTATCCTTAATTTATGGACATGAGTGTATTTTAATGATAAATTCTGATCTGAGATTTTTAGATTACAGTTTTTTTATTTGTTTATTTAAAAAAAAAGACAAAGGCATCCGTAATTCACCGTATATTTCTTATTCATTTTCAGTGCAACGAATTTGAAAACATTTCGAAAAAATTAGAGTAAATGACTATCATCGTTTATTTTGTAGAGATCTATTCGACTAGAAAAGGAAAACTTGAGAAAATAAAACCGACTAGGTATTTTAGAAATGAATTAGGTGCTTCGATCATTAATACCTTAACCGTAAAATATTCTTTACTATGAATTGCGTATGATTTAAATTATGCATAAACCATTTTCTTGATCAGCTGAAAGCACTGATCCAAGAGTACCTAACTCAGTCGTTTATTTTTTAACAATTCCAGAGAAGTTAAAATGATACTAATAACGCGACGCAACTTGCTTACACGAAAATTCATTCTTACGAGAAATAGCAGAGGGAATAATAATCAAAAACAGCATTAAGAACGGTTATTCCGATGACGATAATGCGCACAACAAATAGCACCATATTCAGAATGCACATCAACTAGTCATTCTTTTGGTAATGTAATTACAAGAATATAGAGAGAAAAGGCTAAATTGAAACATAAATGCTTCTAAAGGCTCCACAAGTCGTAAATAACGCAGGAAGAGAAAACAATTTATTAACCCTGCCCCTCCAATCACTGACATGGAAGTTGAACCAAAAATAAAAATATAAAATGTATCAGCCTCAGCTTCCAATGGCCATCCGAGTTGGGCTGAGCGCCCTCTGTGGGATTTACTTGTTGCTGCCCGTTCCAAGCGATCACAAATCGGTCTGTGCGTTGGAGGGAAGTTTGTAAACAGAATAAGCCGGTCGCATATTTGGTTCTGAAAAATTTGAGAATTCTTTTTCGCAGGTTACCTTTTCTCTGAATAAGGATGTTTTTGAGGATCGTATCCTTCAGAAGTTCTTGGAATTAATTTTGAAATGATAAGAACGCTTTTCTCTTTTTTCGAGATGAAATGTTTATAACAATGAATGTTTTAAAATACTAAGGTACTGTTCATACCTGGAAAAACTGCGAAGTAAAATACATCATAGGCTTATTTCAAAATAAAAATCACACTGATATAAATTTTTTCTGAGATGGAATATCAGTGATTGAAATATGATTCAAACGCCACTCACTATTTATGGAAAAACAAACATGTGCATTATTTGGACAAAAACAACACGAAATATTTTCAAGAATTCGGACTATAGTGCTTTTTCAATACGAAAGATTGGATTATTGGCTTAAATATCATATAAGTAAAAAGATCTGGACAAATGCGATGGTATAATTTACAATAACTGGTTATAGATATAAAATACAAGTATATAATACGTTTTCTTAAGAATATTTAAAAAGCGTTTTCGTGCAGTTGTTTAACGTACTAATTTTTACAGCTCTATCAAGCAAATTATGCAACTATAAATTTCCATATGGAAGTGGTAAATTATAACTTAAGTTGTTGAATATGTTCATAAAATGTTCATTAATTATTATGTTAATAAAAATATGATCATCAATTAATTAATCAGTAAAAATGTTGCAAATAACAATAAATAAATTTGATGTAACCATGTCCCAAAAAAGCCTGTTTTACAGGTAACTGTTTATACTGTTTTCTTTCAATATAGCAGTTTTTAAGAATAATAACGAAATTCGACGTGACGTCAATGACCATCGAATTTGGGACTTTCTACAGAAAGTTTAAATGGTGGCACACGACACACGAAGAGTATGTTTTTATGTTTGAATAGGCTTTCATAAATGATCTTTCCACAGACTGCTTAACATTCATGTTCTCATGGATACCGCAAACCCCACACAGAGCCTGATGGAGGGGCAAATTATGGACTTACATGGTACTTATAATTATGATAATATGACTACTGATAACTGGACATTGTCAAACACAACCTCCCAAGCCGTAATACAGCGATCAACACGTCATTTAACCGTCATGGTGCAAATTTTAATCACATTCTTCTATGGCTTCGGGATCAGCTCTAATGTGTGTGCCCTGGTGCTTTTAGCTCGAGGGGAAACAGCACGCAATCGTAAACAAACTTTAATGGTAAGGTGCTTGGCTTGCAATGATCTGGTTGCCCTTCTGGGATCTTTGATTCTCATGTATATGCATCTTTACATGAGTGAGCCACTCGTGGACAGTAGATGGTTCTGTGCTTTGAGAGTGATCCTCAGGACATTCGGTCTGTCATCTGGATGTGTCGCCATCGTCATGGCCGCCGAACGATGGATGGCTCTCACCAGGCCGTTCCTCTATCAGAAGGTAAAAGTGTTTTTAACATTAATATCATCATTCATTTATTTTCAGTTTAACAATTTTTATAAACGATCTACGAATATTCTTTTATTGCCTTTAACGAATATTTAGATTCGAGGAATTTAACATTATGTATCCAATACTTTAATAATATATTTCATCGAATTAATAGATAATTCCAAAATGATGCTGGATAGGTTACAAGTGTAATTTTACATTATACTGGTAACCTTACTCTTAAATTACACTGGTATTTAAGCAAAGTGTAATCTTAAACCGCTTTACTTAATTTAATAACTTTTGCATGTTAAATATCGTTCATACAAAGTATAATTAAAATCTTTGTATCCTAGTAATGATTTCATAGTAATCGCATGCAATTATTCGCAGCTCGCAAGAAAATCGATTGGTGGAATTGGCAATAAGGTATATTTTAAAATTGAAAATAGAGATGTATCATTAAAAATATACATAATTAAAGAAGAGGCATTTTTATTTGATCAAATTTTTTTTTATATGAGGAACCAGAAAATATTTAGTCAAAAGGAAATCTATATGTTTTTAAGCTAGCATAATTTATGGAAGTTCACTAAAATACTTTCCATTTGAACAAAGGTTCATAAATTACGATAACTTAATATTGTACTGTATTAGCTTTTTGTCCAGTGCATTTACCTTTTGCTATGCAAATTAAATGTAAAAATATTGTTTACTGTGCAGAGAATTCATATTCAGAAATGAGTTTCACACAGCAATTTTGATTCTTTGCTTTTTCATTACTACTCGCATTATTAAGGTATAAATTATCCATATTGTTAAAGAACAAGAGTTGGGAATTTTAATATAATAACTTTATTTTTCACTGAAATATTTTAATAATGTTTATCGGAATGTATCTATATTAAAAATCATTGCAACAATTAGTTATAAGTCTTAAAAATTCTCATAAAATGCAAAATGCGTCTACAAAGTCTTAGGACTAAGTTCATACGGAGTAGAAAAATAAAGTAAACAACTTTCTTCGCCTTAAATACAAAATCCTTGTAAGTCTAAAAAATGCATGACACGTTCATACAACTTAGAACTCATCATCCAGTCTTAAGTTGCGGTATTCTGAATCTCATAGTTAAATTAAAATAATAACTTTTGAAGTGGAATTTACTTAAGGGAACAGTAAGTTGTTTGTGAATGCCAAATTTAGCAAATAAAGGAAGTAAATGTGATTTGTGAAATTTGTACTTGTTACAAATTGCTGGAAGAGAATGGTAATATATGACAGTGGATTGTGTATCAGAAATAGTTATCCGATTGTGCCTTCTCAGGTCTAACGTGTTGAATTCTCTTTAAAAGTCTGCTCATTATTTTTGTATAAAATATAGAATTCACTGTCTATTCTTCTGCAATCAAAAAAGTGTTTTTACTCGAGATTCTGAAACCCAAGTTTTTGTAGCCGTAATGAACTTTATCCAACTCAATCAGATGGCTGCCGTTTTGTCTTAGAATCGCAGCATCACACCTTGTATGATCTCCAGACACAGTCTGAAAAACCTTTCTGTTTTTCTTGCTTTGCAGCAAACCTTTGTAACTATTCTTTGCTCAGCTTTCAAATTAATGGCAGCAAATGATTACTGGATAAAGGAAACAAGTAATTGCTCGGAGAATTATGTCCGAAAGCGGAAAATATCGTAGGGAAAGTAGTAACATCATAGCAGTAACTGCTGTCAGTTATTATGTGGTAGTTTTTCTGGAATTTGCTTTTTTATAAAAAAAAAAGTTTGTTTAATGGCATTACGTATTTCTGTTGTGACGAACAATTAAATTTTGTCTGAAACAGAGTAGTTAGAAATAATTTTTAAATATTAATATCTATACTTATATTAAGTATTTAAAATTGGGTATGTTGCTTTAATGTGTTATTTTAGAGAGCTGGAGTTGTCCTCCAAGAAATGGGTACTAACTCATTAAAAACTTCAGCAGCAATTATGCATAATCTTTCAAAGGAATATAAACTACAAAAAATTTACATCGACTCCAAACATTTCAGGAAACCTTGTAAGAATTATTTCTGTAACTTTTATTATTTTCGAACGAAATTGAAATTTTTTTCATTTCATAGTGCTGGAAAAGATTTAACGAAACTAACTCTTACCAATAAATTTTGTATCTTACTTTATTATTTAATTAAAATTATCATTTTTATAAATACTACGTTATGTTTTTCAGTTCATTATGAGTATGAACCTATTTTGAGGCATTTTTCCTTTTCGTTTTTTAAATTTTGAACTTTAAAGCATTTGAGACGGTATACTGTTAAATCTGCTTTTTTTAACAAACAGAAATACCTATAAAATATGCTCGTTTTCGTAAAAAGATGTACTTTATTTGACTGTGTCACACTCAGTTTGAATCACTTTTACATCTCTGTCTATGCTTTAACGGATTATGAGAAAAGAATAAAAAAGTATTCGAGTCTGTCAGTTGCCCAGCTGTAAAAATAATTTAAAATGAATACGTGCATGTTAAGTGGAATCCATTTTGAATTTAATTCATGATGAGAAGGGGAGTTTTTCCCCTAGGTATAATGTAATTAAAATTTAATTTACGGAAGAAAATTCCCTATAGCAAATTTCTTCCAAAGTATATTACCAGAAAAACAAATTTTGAATATCTTTTCCAACTTTGCGATCTTCTGTTTATGGTAAAGTACTTTTGAAGTTCGTTTTGATAGCTTTAAGGAAGTTATTTGCATAAGTTCCATCTCGTTTCTGAAAATGAGTACTCCAGGGTATGTAATCAAAGTTTCGGATCTGCGGATTTTAATTACCCTCATTTCGCAGATACATCAACCCCAAAAATTTTCTGGTTTGCCCTGAATTCGAAACCAGAAATAGCTGCATACGCATTTAGCTTTTTTGCTGCATCGCATTTAGCTTGCGATGGAAGTCTAAATTACCTGAGGTAGCATTTCGAAAACTGTGAAATATAATTAACACTACGTTCATAACTTATTGAATATTGATTAAGTAATTTATCTTTTTTTAATTAATAACTTACTTGTCTTTCCACGCGCTATTAAAATCCATTATACACGGAAAGAATTTTTTTCCTAATAGGAATCTCTTGAATTTTGTTTTATTAGAATTTTTTAATAATTTTTAACCTAAAATTAAGTAAAATTTAGCTTTCACTGAGGTGTCCGTGTCCTCCGAAAACATCGCGGCCAAAACGCTGAGGAGAAAACAACGCAAGGCGAAAAACGTCGTAGTATAAAACATCGTCATCGATAATAAAGCGGTTAAAAAATATCGCAGTTTTAAAACATCGCTGTAAAAAATATCGCAGTAAAAAATAAAGCATCTGCAAATAATCGTATGATGCTAAAATTGCAGACATGCGTTTTTTAGGCTTTAAAAGTTGTATATTCTTACAATTAATTATAATGGATTTTGAAAGTAAGAAGGGATGATGAATATCCTTATATTTCATATTTTTGGATTAATTAATAATTTCTTGTAAAATAGAAAGAAAATTTAAACATTAAAAAACTGAAAATGAGTAGAAAGTCAATGCTACCAAATAAATAGCGCCAAAATTGTTGCTTTTATTTATTTATTCATTTTATTGAGTTCATTTGAAAAACGACAATTTTGAAAAACTGCAGCAGAATAATTTCTTCCTTGAAGGAAGCAGACTTTCATTTTGCTCACTAAAAATGTTTAGAGCATTTTCTCTCTTAAAGTACAGCCAGTCAGCGATCGAATTTTGTTTAACTTAGATGTTAAAATTTAAGTGCATCTCTTTTTGATATTAATTTAAACATATTTATTTCACCGCTTGTGAACATAAATTAGAACAAGTGTGTAACATAATTTTATTGAAGCATTGAATTTTATTTAATTAAGAGTTCGTATACGAAAACCTCCTTTTTGCGATGGAAGAGAAAATATTTAGTTAGAAGTTTTACAAAATAATGTAATTTTAAGGTTATTTATATTTAAAATCCTTTTATATTTAAAATACTCCTAAAATTTTCATAAACATAACGCCCTCTCTAAGAAATAAGTTAATGATATCGTTTAATCCTTTGCACAATGCATAAAATATTTAGTTTTCACTTTAAGGAAAAGACGATTTCAATTCGAAAAATATTCTTTTGCTTATTTTTAAATGTTTAAACTAAACAAAAACATTTCTACGTTTTATTAATTATTATCATATTTGCCGGTAACGATATGAAGAAGCGTCTGATATCATTCTGTGATTAAATTTATTTAAATAACCATTAAATTTTAACGATGTGTATATTTCTCCGCTTATGTATATAATTTTAACAATTGTGTAAATTTCTTCGCTTAAGAAATATCTCAGATATTCTTGAAATTGTTCATCATGAATTTCAAACTGAATTCTTTTCAGTTGGTAAATTTAAAATATTTTGTGTAAATTTAGGAGGAAAGAAAAGCTGCTGAGAATTTATTACTCTGAAATTTGTGTTTGAATGCTAGTTCGAGTAAATCAAATATGCATTTATTTATATATAGAAGAATAAAATATTTGTTATTATTACGTGGTTAAATGAAGATTATCTTTTTTAAACTAGTTTCTTTATATAAATATGGTTGAACTTAAATTACATGAATTTCGATAATTCCAAATCTTTATAAATAAAAGGAAGAGTCTCTCTGTGTGTGTCTTTCGTTCGTGCTGCGCGTAAGCATATAGACTCAGGGCTACGAAATTCGGTACATAGGTGCATCTAGACAAGAGCCAGTGCACCTCGAAGCGATTTTTTCAAAATTCGAATGAGGTTTTTTTTTTTTTTTTTTAAATTTTTTTTTTTTTTTTTGATAAAATCGGATCAAATCGATTATTTTCTTTCATTATATCAGCAACAATGGCTGCGTGCCATTGTTGCTGATATATCACTGTTGCCACTCGGAAAAATGAGGGTGATAGTTTTGTGCAGTTTTTAAATTTAATGTTTCTCTTGGATATTGGACGTTTGT